AAGGTAATGGACTTCACTCGAATTGAATTCCTCACTGCTTTTACTGCTATACCCCCCCCCACACACACACACACACACCGCGCGCGCGCGCGCGCGCGCGCACACACACACACACACACACACACACACACACATCTTCTCTAGCTGGGTGTGATTGCCTCGACATACCTCACCCTCTGTCCTAGGGGCTTGATCATTTTTGAACTTCTTTTATCAAAACTCGAATATATGTATGAATCAGAAGACCGTGTCCGATTAGCTTCAACGGTCACGGAAGTACTAGTCCCTACACTGTTGGTCCATCTGATTATGAGTCAGCTCATCAAAAACCTTCCTCGTTCATCCAGCTTTATCTGGACGTTTCATTTCTCCATTAGGTGATAGTACATTTTACAAGAACTATTAAGCTGCCATTCTCTCATATTTAACTACGACCTCATAATATATAATTGAAATGATCTTACAACATTAAAGACTGATAGTTAACAGGATTTGTTTTGGTAGGTTTGTAAAAGTACACCCCCTTCTCAAAGCGTGATGACATATTAGGACTATCGGAACAGTGAGATAAGAGAAAATTGTACTATTCCACGTAAAACCTCAGAGAACCAATGCACTCTATAACTACATTACAAACTCTACAATAACAACCTTTAAAAAGATTTATACAAGACCGAATAGCGAAAAACAAAACTCATGATGAATGCTGCACAGTAGGCACAAAAGAAAATGAAATAATGTCAAAATTTTACGTAATTTTGCAGGGGTATTCAAGGACCGGTAATGCGTTATCGGGAAGAGTGTGCTGGAAATCAATCAGTACTTTGCAACTCAGGGTAATATGACTCGTTGCAAATCGAAAGAAATATTGACTTGTAAAACGCAGGAAACGAGCATTGTGTGATTCTCAGGGTGTTAAGACCGGGAGTAAAATGGAAGAAATATTGACTTGGTATTAATATGCTGGAAACGAGCATTGTGTGATTCTCAGGGTGTTAAGACCGGCAGTAAAATGGGAGAAATATTGACTTGGTATTAATATGCTGGAAACGAGCATTGTGTGATTCTCAGGGTGTTAAGACCGGCAGTAAAATGGGAGAAATATTGACTTGGTATTAATATACAGGAAACGAGCATTGTGTGATTCTCAGGGTGTTAAGACCGGCAGTAAAATGGGAGAAATATTGACTTGGTATTAATATACAGGAAACGAGCATTGTGTGATTCTCAGGGTGTTAAGACCGGCAGTAAAATGGGAGAAATATTGACTCGGTATTAATATACAGGAAACGAGCATTGTGTTTGGTGTGCTAAGTTCCAGTCATGTTAAATTTTGTAATTGAGAGTGAGAATCGAGTGGAAATTTTGGGATTACCCTGCGCTAAATATAAACAAATACCTATGACAAAACAAATAGTCCGATCAAACAGCGTTTATCATATTCAGATATGAGTGGGAGGTTTGGGGTGACTCTGCCTCTAATATAAACAGATATCTGTTACAAAACAATTGGGCTCTATTCCCATAGATTTTAGATCGATCTATCCCCGCGGGGAGTCTCACTAGATTACTTTCAGATAATCCGACTTAAATGTCCGTCCCGCCTACTACAAGCTGTAAGGGGGTAATTAACTTTCGTGTCCGCCCGGCTGACAGCTATTTAGCGTGAACCCCCAGGGAGTTAGGTCGATCTAAAGTAGGTCGATCTAATCTATGGAAATGGGGTGCAAGAGTCTGATCAAACTATGCTAGTCATACGTACATGTACGTTGTGTATCAATACACGGACGACGTTTTGGAATCTGATATGTCTGGCCTGCCGAATTCTTAAGGATTGTTCCTGATTTCAATTGTATAAAAACTTAATTAAACTAAATGTTCACCCTCGTTCGCTATATCTCTATCTTTAGTCTGTCTTACACCAGTCTACAGTCAGAGCGAAGACATACCATCAATATCAAACATGGCTCACGCCTTTTTACTATTTGAGCGAAGCGTTTCCCACACTTTCCGATATGGGTGACTTAAAGGGGTAATAAGTAATAATCGCTGTAAAATGAAATGGAATTTCTGTTCGCGGATCAGAGAGAGAGAGAGAGAGAGAGAGAGAGAGAGAGGTGGAGATGTTTTGGATGAAAGAAAAAGTAGAGAATGGCGATGAACAGAAGGGCGAGCCGAAAGAGAGGAAGCCCTTTCTTTTTTTTTCTCTCTTCGTACAATGCCAGCCCATATTCTTAATTCCCTGTAAAAATATACCCCAAAACAGCATCCTGTACTTAGCCATTCAAAGTGCATCTCAAATATTGACTGCAAGCGCGTGATACCGCTGTCTTTCGTCGCAGGATGTTTTGTGTTTGCAAACCAGCCAAAATATGTATACGCCGGATGACAGCGTTGCGTCACAGCAAAATCTTTATATTGGTCATTTAAGTTGACAAGAATCGATGTTATGCAAGTTGTGCGCCTCAGATGTCTGTTTTCGACTTAACTTGCCATTCTTCGTATTGATTCACCAGAGCTGAGTATAGTTACAGTTTTGTGTTATACAGAGCCGTTTAATTGTAGCACTGAGATTGTGGGACGCGCGTCCCACCGCTGATGAATATTGTATAAGTCCGATGCACACCGACTGATTTAACTGCTGAGCTACGTACAACACTGGCCGCGTGAATTGGAGCAGCCAGCTCAATGTGTGTGCTAGTTTTTTGAAAATACCTTCTCCTCCCTCCCTCCCCACCCCCCATCACATTCCTCTCCCCATCTCCGCCTGCAAGAAAGAAAAACTCGACACAAGTTCACCGTGACCGAACTACATGCACGGGTCGATCAGTAAACCTGTGGTTTTCGGTGACGCTTGAACGAATATTCGTTTTAATTGTCAAAGGGTGACGCACCTTGTACAAGTGGATAATTTCTCACAGGTGCATAAACTCTATATAGCTGCTTTAAATCACCACAGATGTCAAACGCTTTTGCCAATTATTGATAAAATTTACATTACGGTAGGCAACAGCGTGAAGAAAAGAGAAATTCAAAATCTACCATAACAGTTGCTTCGCTCAAAAGTTGCAGATTCAAATTTAGGCCTCCGTTTCACAAATCATTTGAATTCAGTTTCTGAGATTTACTGGCTACTTGTGTTGAAATCGATTCTAAAAACCGCTCATCTCATTTTTTTCTGCCTAAAATCATATATTAATTTAACCTTATACCACGGGGGCCTGAATTGTCTAATGTCTTAATTTGTTTGTTTGTTTGTTTGTTTGTTTGTTTGTTTGTTTGTTTGTTTGTTTGTTTAAGCAAAAAAAAAAACAAAACAAGATTTTAACTAGAGTGCATCCTAGATTCTAGCAAAGGGCACTTATAGATTTAATAAATGGTTTCCTCTTTCCTACAACTTGTAAAGATGAAAAAAATCCAAGAGAGATAAACACTCTTAGACTTTATATTAAGCATTTGTCGCGGCATGTGAGTTCTTTTAAAATAACTGTTTAAACCAAACTCCGGTTAAAGTTTCGTCTGCAAGTTAAGAGACGCTGTTAAAGCATAATGCATTCCATCAAGTTTGAGTAGATCCATGGTAACAGCATAACAATACGGCAGTCACAACGTTAAAACGCGATTTGTACCGAACATGTTAACATCTATAAAATGTGTATATAAGATATAAAGAGCGCACACACTTACACACACACACACACACACACACACACAAACACCTCCTCCCTCTCACACACACTAACATGTACATACATACATACACCGTCTCTCTCTCTCTCTCTCTCTCTCTCTCTCTCTCTCTCTCTCTCTCTCCCCCTTTCGGTCAGTGAAATGAATTGGAATTCATATTATTCTTTTATTACTTTGACACAATCATAGAACGTGCTTGATTTGCCTGACCGTCTTTTTAATAGCGCTTACTAGTAATTTCAGTCAATGATTTGCAGGTGTTCTTTATGAAATATCCAGCGGAATCTACATAAACACGATCTCATTTGCAGCGTGACAGAATCGATCAAAATGTATTCCCACGTTATTTCACAGAGAGAGACAAACGATCTAAATGTGCTCCTGCTGTTCTATACGGCCTACAGCATAAAGCGAACGATCAAAATGCGTCCTCGATTTTTTTTCTTGTTTTGGAGTAAAACAGAATCAATCCACACAATACAATCCATCTTCTAGCTCCAAATGCGTTCACGCGACATGAAATGAAATGAAATGACATTGATTGCATTATTTCACACAGAGCCATCAACAAATTTCGACTAGACATCAAAGTATCGTCATCATCAAGCCACGTGATTGAAAAAAAAAAAAACTTTCTGGAGATCGCTGCGTGTTTTTCCACCCATCGAATTGACCCCGCCCCCTCTGTGTGCTTCCCGTTATAATCTACTGGGAGATGTAGCACAACGGAAGAGCGCGTATTGGGTGACACAGTCCCATATTGACACACCTATACAGACATTAAAACAAAAATAAACAATAAAGGTCTAGAAAAAATATAAGGATGCAATCATGGAGAATATGACAGAGTTAAGAGTTTAAAATGACCATGCGCAGGATCGGCGTGGGCGGAGACGGATATTCCGCTGTGGCAACCCCTGAGAAGAGATAGGTCCGAAAGAAAAGGGAGAAGATATTGGTCTGGATAACACGAGCACGATTGCTTGATTGAGATTGCGATTGTGTGAACTGAATCTCATCTACCACAATTGAGAGAGAGAGACAGAGAGAAAGAGAGAGAGAGAGAGAGCATTCGCACATATTACATTCATCGATATCGCCTTCTAGCATAATTAGATAACAGTTATTTAAAAGCTGAAAAATAAAACATAAATAGGCCACTGCAACAGAGATCCTATTAACCAATAAGGAAAGCGCAAGCGCGAAGACCTTCAAAAAATTTCGCAAGCCAAGTCGCATTTCCACTTTCTGATAGCCCCTATCACACTCACTAAGTAAATTTTTCCTTGATACCAGTGCAATAACAGGTCACATGTGTAATGAACCTGATAAAAAAGGCATCTTTCAGTTTGAATTTCTGGGTCACACAACGATCAGCAGGTGAGAAAATTCTGTCTGCTCGAGCAGTTAAGGATTATGGAGAGAACGAGGATTGTACTTCTTACTTTGATATCTGTCCTTGCAGTTGTGCCTCACACAGGTAAATTTTCCAAAATTAAATTGACCATCTTAGTCTTTTCTTTTCATTTTATTAGGTTTCAATGTTGGATGTTTTACTTTCTCTCTTCGCGGTGATTTGAACTAATTCAACCGTGAAAAAAAAGTGCGGAAATTTGAATGTAGGTAGTTGCTTTTTTATTCGCAAGATGGGTTATGAGAACCACTATTTGTTCACATGTCCCGCGTTGTCTCAAGAGAGCGGTTAATGTTAACTGATAATACAATGGATGACGTTTGCATTTCAAAGAATTTCTCTGCAGTCCAATGCTTTATTATGGATACATACACAAATCAAAAATTCTAGCTGTTACATAGAATGCAATGTTATGTTGAAACAATCAGATTGAAAAGATGATCAAATATATATCAATCTAAGCAAAACCAATAATTATCAAGACTTTCCGGGGAATATCCTTACATTCAATCCTTACAATTCAATCCTTAGATTCAGAAAATGTCTTTTACGACCGTTAGTAATTAGGAATTATAAATATGTTCATAAGTATGTGTTTTATTCAATATCTCTAGCACATGCACAGACCGTCAAGATCGCAGCGATTCCCGGACTACGGGTGGTAAGCGGATCCTCGTTCAATTTGACCTGTGCCGTAAGCAATCACAACTTCACGGCTGGGAATCAGATATACTGGAAATTCAACGGTGAAGCAGTAGTCGATACACAGAGCCATAAAATAGCAGATAAATTCAAAGACCGCTTTGGAATTCTTAATGGAAATAATGTTCAAATCCTTACTAGAACAGGTAAGAATCATCTGTTTTTTTTTTTTTTTAAGTTGGATGCGAAGTCGTGTATTATAATGTGCATTGAATTCGTGACTCTACTCGGTCGTGGTTTCATTTACGTTTTGTCATTGTTATCAGTGATGAATGAAGGCATTTTGACTTTAAAAGGCAGATTCCTGTTATCCTTTTTTTATCCATACCATTGCAAACAGAATTAGTGGGCTTATATAAAAATATTGTAGACAAGGAATCATATGACGTTTTAGTTTACCACTTAAAAATAAAGCAATAAAGAAACTAAAAGCATATATGACCTCTATACTTCAGAGGCAAGTACAGATGACGCAGGAACATATGAATGTGAATTAAAAGATCAAGACAATTCACTTGGTAGGGATACAATTTCCCTGCAAGTGGCAGGTAAGTTAGTGTGGGTTTGAGCTAAAATAGGCACGGTTGCTGTAAGGTGGCTCCTGAACAGTTTTCAGCGTGTGCATTAAGCATTGACACTTTCAGCATGCTATTAAAATAGGATACAAATGCTAATGGTAAAATTGCCTATGCTTTTGATGTCTTACTCAGGGTCGGATCCAGAGCTATTTACTGACAGTCTTCCAAATTATCTTTGTTGATTCATCGTCCAATTTTGACCGTCTTCCAACAGAAAAAATTAGATACCCGTCAATGTTAACTTGAAAGTCTGACCGTCTTCTGGAAGACCCAGAAGACGGCCTAAATCCGCCCCTGTTACTGCCATATGCCCTCTCATATTACATGTAGTTATTGGGTTTTCCCCCTTCCTTAAACTTAAATATATTTAAATTTTGTATGAACTCCATGTTAAGAAATATATCACCTTTTCTTGCGTCTTCGTTTTTGTTAATCAAACAACCAGTTTGTTCCTAGGTGACCGATTTACGCTTTATTTCTTGCAGATTCATTTTCTTCTAATGCCCCACCATCCACCACCAAACCAAGCACCACTTCAAAGACGTCAACGTCAACTCCTAAAACTGACCGCAACATATCGGCAGGTAGGTGTCTTTTCTTAGATACAGCTCTAACTAGACCTGCGCTAAGAAAATTAGGGAAATGAATAAAATAACAGAAGAGAAAATCAGATTATGGCAGGGATAAATATGGATAAATATAAGTATATGAATCGATTATTGCATTATTTTTCTTTTCTGAACTGTTGAGTCGCGCTGGGCAGGCTAAATATATGTAGGAAAATTCATACAACTGTCTAACTTCCAAAATGGAGTTAAAATTCGCCGTTGCAGAACTCGTATGAATATATCTTTGTATTTTTGTTTGCTAAAAGGATAGCCTCCATATGTAGCAATAAAAACACTGGCTTTTATTTTGATGCATTATACTAGGGGCTAAATATGATGAAATGTAGTCTAAACTGAAGCGGTTCCAGGTAAAGAATAAGTAAACGGGCTGCATGTAATTGCTATACATTCTTATCGGCGCCCGTAAGTCAACACTGCAATTTGCTACGACGCGACAGATAAATTGTTCAAATACTGATTTTATTTACAATCATGAGATAGAAATGCAGCTGGCATACGTTGACTTGGCCGAAAGACATGAAAATGGCGGTCTACCAAACGGAAGTGAAATTCTATAGTTGGAACTGAATCAGAAACCGTTTTTGTTTTCGAGATAATTAGTGTACTCTTAATCATCGACAGATCCATCGGTATTAATGAAATGAAACGAGAATCACACAAGAGATTGTGAACGATAAAAAATTTAAATTGTTATCGAAAAGATATATTTTAAATAAGCAATCTTTTAACTATCTAGGTATGCATTTCTCTTGCTTTTGATAAACATTGTTAAGGTAAGGAGGTAAATAATATCTATCTACATCCTATTTCATAGGCCCCATACCCAAAGGCCTCAGGACAGGGGACTAACTAGTCCGAGGGTCAAATATGGCCAAACCACTTGAATACTCCCCCATGGGATATCTATTTAGTGTCTTTCAGCGGATTAGACAGCAAGCTTTGTAGTTGGTCGCCATATTTGACCCTAGGACTAATTAGTCCCCTATTCTGAATGGGGCCAAAGACACCATTGATATAACTCTGCGGGGACTCTTGCTGAGTGCAATCAGACTAAATAAATGACATGCCTCCTCCTAGCGTTGAGCAGAATACTTCAAAGGTGGTGATTATACGAGAACGTTGGACACGAGAGTGGGCGTACGTGTTATTCACTTAAGCTGACTACACTCAGCAAGAGTCCCTGCAGAGTTGGATCCATCTACGTGGTGTCTTTGGGAATGGGGGTCACTGATAGAGAAAGATATCATGCTTTCATGCGCAATCTTTGTAAGCAGGAATTATTTTAATTAAAATAAGTTATTTCATCTCGTCAGTTGTGAAGTAGAACTGTTTGTAAAATATATATTTTTGGTATTGGCTATTGAAATTGTTTTAACATATAACCTTTCTTTTTAGCCTCAAGTATCAAGAACAATGGTCTTTGGTGCGCGCTTATGACATGGACTTGTTTTCTGATGACACTCCGGAAATACATGTAATATTAGTTGATAGTTTTTTGCAATTTTATAGTGACAGTTCCTGGGTACACAGCTTGGACATAAAATGTTTTTTGTTATTCTTGTTTAAAAAAAGTAATCAAGTTTGACAATCATGGTTCAACAACATGTCAGCCATTTTTTTCTGATAGTTTTCTAGTGCTTTGTCCATTGCGCCATTTTAGATATTTAGTAATTTCAGCAAGCTGATGGTCAGCCCGACATTTAGTCATGCTCAATCTGTTTTGTATTTACACAAAAATATATAATTATGCAGTTTAATTACTGGACAAACCAGACAGTTTTATTCTATCAGGTTGTTGTGATTTTCAACGTGTAACACTGAGTTAACCATTGAAATGTTTATCATTTTTAAGGGAAATAGATACGACCAAATGGCATCATTAACGATTGTTGCTGTCCACGTATACGCTGCCCCCTCCCCTCCATAAGCAAATAAAACTTAAAGTAAGGCAAGAACTTGTTGTTCGCCTATAGTTTACCCTACCGGTAGAGCTAGGGCGTATTCAGTACCAGTTGTTCCGAGGACTAACTAGTCAAATATGGCGCGTAACACTTAATTTATGCGTGCCGAGATTTAATTTCTCTGCCCGTGCTGGGACGGCTCGTATGGGAGCCGGGAATCCATTGTTAAGTGCACACATACTTGATCCACGGACTATTCCGTCCTCGGTGCTGAATTCGCTCCTAGATTTCATTGAACAAAATATTTTGCCTAGACGTAGAACAGCTAACGTACAGTTTCATGAACAGAATGTCTAAGTTTGGCAATATTAGGATGGTATAAGGAATGCATATATACATGTACATGTTAAACCGGCAACCCTCCTTCACCCCCCCCCCCCCAACTTTGAACCCCTACCAAACTCTTCTGTTTATTCAGTGGACTTCACCAAGGCTGCCTTTGAAACGACCGTTATGAGTAATGAACTTTATCAGGGCAACACCGAATAAGTAAACTCTAAGAGTGAAGCTTATTTATCTGAAGGCCACATAAAATGACGCATATGACCCGTATTAGACCGGCTACTAAAATGAGCGGTAATAAGATATTTGTCATTTGTATATATATTTTTTTTTAATTTGAAAATCTATTACCACTATTAAAGCATAGTTTAGGTGACTTCATGCCTTTTCAATTTATTTATTTATTTATTTATTTATTTATTTATTATTATTATTATTATTATTATTATTATTATTATTAATTCAGTATGTAAACTTTAAACTGTGATATAAATTCATAACGGTCCATTTTAAAAAATCCAGGCTTGCGTCTGAGTGTATAGAAAGTAGTACTGTTACCGTTCTTGGCCTTAACGTAGTTCGCAAGATATCTTTATCTCATATTCTGTTTATTTGGTTACATTTCCCACATCTTATCAGTTTGAACTTGTTGGTTTAATTTGACGTTATGACTGGGTGATATGCAAAGCTAGTACTTTAAATCTATGTCAATTTTTTGTAATTCTAAACCTTTCCCTGTATATAATGCACTGATGCTGTGGCAAAAGCGAGCAATAAAAAAGGATATCATTTTAAATAAATGATTATTTGTTTTAGAACCTTGTGTGTTGTCAGATTCTTTAAATCATATTTTACACTAAAGTTAATACCAATTGTATAAAATTGTTGCCAGGTTTTTTTCTTTTTTCTTCTTTCGCTTGTTACAATATTTTCCAATTTTGGAGGTCGTAGGGGCGGGGGATAGATTCCCCAATCTCTCGAGGGAGGGGTTAATTATTGGTGCACTGTGTCCACTGGATTTATACTAAATTCAGGTAGTCCGATTATCTTCTGACTGGTCTTCCTTAACCTAATGGCCGATAAACCTAGAAGAAACGTACATGTATACGATCTTCAAAGCCCTTGATATTCGTAAGAAAAATGTTACATATATATGATTTTGCCTATCAAGGGTTTACGAGATATATTGTCACAGTGATATTATGGGGCCTACATGGCTGTTAAGCATGCACGTCATTTCATATAATTGAATTTACCAAGTCAATAGTGAGGTTAATATTGACATTCTCTTGCCGTCAATATCTTACCTGATGGGTTCCAGGCACAACAAAAATTCTCGTTTAGTTTCAGACAAGGTGTTACGGAGCTTACGATTGCAGTAGATGTGACCGACCGCAGCAATGGAACTTGATTTCAGCAAGGACTTGATTACAAGTCCTTGGTTTCAGCAAGTTTTTTTTTTCTGTAATGCGCCATAGCAAAAAAAAAAAAAAAAAAAAAAAAAACAATCACAATAATGTCTTCCGTACCATGGGATATAGCTACTGCAGTACGTTCCTTCCTGTTAAACTTGGCTGGTATCAGTATAAATGCGCAGACTGCGCTATGTAGCGAAGATGTAACAAGGATCGAGTGTTTTTAACTGAAAGTTTCACCCTTTCAGTGTTATAAAACTTTATTTGGAATGATGTAAAATGATACATGTAAGTGGAGGATCCTTTCTGTGACAATGGAGTGAATTGTTAATGGTTATAATAATAATAATAGGCTTCTTATATGGCGCCTTATATGCTACCTCGAGGCCCTTACAATAATGGATGATATAACTAAAATTATTAAAATGACTACAATATCTAAATCTTAAACATAAATTGGAAATCATTTAAAATTAACACTATTAAAAACACAATCTTATTGAAATATTGTCAGAATTCCAACTCACTATTATTAGTATAGGGCTGCCATTATTTTTCCACACCTGGTCTTTTTATTTTTGGCGGCTGGATGGGTGAAATTGTTGCACGCGACGTCAAGGGCAACCACCCTATACCGTATCCTGTTGCCGTTTTAGACGGAATCCTCTGGTTTCTTACAATGAAGTCCTTTTTGATAAGTAGACATTTGGAACTATTCAGTTGCTTCAATTGCGTTAAAAATCCACAGTCGTTGCAGAGGTCCTTTGATTTTCTGTTGATAAAGCACTACCAAAGACATTTCATAAACGATTTGAGAGTTTCCGGTAGGCCTACTTTATAAAGATCAATTAGAATACGTGAGATTAAAGATCTTCACGGTTACAGAAACATTAGAATATAATCTCATTTCTTAGTTCACGGTCATTAATATCATCAGCAGCATAATATTTATGATTGTTTCATAAATGTTTTATCAGCTTTTTCTACTTTCGTTCTATAGTTTATATTAAGGTACATGCAGGTCTATTCGTTAAATAGACGCGTAGCTTTTTTCGGCCTTGCAACCGTGTATTACAAATTTTCCACCGTCCTGAAAATAAATAAATAAATAAATAATTGATCAATGTAGGAAGAACCTGGTTAAATTTAGTGATTTCATTTTTAATACGTTCTGCTTTTTACAGATGATATAATACACCGGAACCTTTTGTATTTAAGATTTAAGTCTATGTCTGGAGGAGCCACACTCAGTTCACATTCATCACTCTGTAAAATGGCTTTTATTTCTCTCTCAGAATTTCATGATAATGCCTTTCACATGATTCAAAAATCGTCGCCCTATAATCCATCTATTTACCTGACACAAGAAATGGTGATAAAAGGCGAAACAGATACATTACATCATTATATATAAAATTTTTATAAACATTATCTAAAATCAGACAAACAGTGTAAAAAAACGATGGAATTGAATATTCGTTTGTTGAGCGTCTATCTGATTTGTAACAATAATAATAATAATGATAATAATAAAGTGTACAATAGTCGGTCATACTTGGAACAGCTCATATATTGCGAAAAGTGCTGTCTAAGCTGCAGGAAAGAGCCAAGACACAACCAAAAAGAGGACCCAGAAACACATCTAAGAACTGGAGGGATTCCCATCATCATCATCATCATCATCATCATAATAATAATAATAATAATAATAATAATAATAAAGTACAATACCTTTATTAATCCTGGCAAAGACTTCCAGAAACTTTCGTTCGGGATCATCTCCGTCCCCCTGGCGCCTTTGACAAACCTCATCACTAACACTCCCCCTATGAGATATACCACCACCGCACATATCACACTGCAATATAGATATCTTATAATAATAATAATAATAATATATAAATATTAAAAAATCTAAAATCTGAGCGGTTTCCGGATACAATGGACCCCCCTCTCCCCCCTTTTTTTTCGACAAAATATATACATTTTAATGTTATATAATATATTTCTACATTATCAATTTTTCTATTTTCCTAATGCTATGACGCATACTTACATGATTATTAAAATACTTCCAGCACTGAGTCCGCCCGCTGACCCACCTGCTACGCATGCGTACTTCGTTTTCAGAGTCATGTACTGAAATTCAAAAAGAAAAAATGAATGTTCCAACTACTGTTAGATAAATTGATTAATTGTCTTTAAAAAAGCCTAAAATCCACAACCTTGGACTAACAATAAGCCTACAAGTACATCTTTAAAAAACTGATATCGCCGTTAACTTCACAATTTAAAAGTAGCTTTAAACTAAATTGAAGCAAACAGTACAAAAAACGGTGTCTTGCAATAATACAAATTCAAAGAGAGAGAGTGTTTGTGCGTGTTGTTGCAAATCAAAAAGGCCCCAAGTGATAGCCAACATTAGATGCAAACCAAATATTCTACGATGAGAGAGAGAGAGAGAGAGAGAGAGAGAGAGAGAGAAACAGACAGAGAGAGACAGAACGTACGTATTGTGCCTGACCCACTTCACCCTGTGCCGTTAGGTCACCTTCATTTGGACCGCAGTCTATGATAACGTACGAGTTTCTGCAAGAAAATAATATAGGCAATTAACATGTAATAATAATAATAATAATAATAATAATAATAATAATCATATTTTTATTATTATATCACTGTTTTTCCCCTAGTACCAAGTTTTCATCTCCTATATACTGAGTACAGAGGATTCCCATTACATTGCATGCACTGCGTTCATTTCCTTGTAGTAGGTCTAATACTGTGTTTCAAGCAACTGAGCAAGTTGAATTTTACCGATATAGATGTGGTTCATATAAATTAATAAATGAATGAATAAATACATGAATAAATAAAGATATAAATGCACGAATAAACAAATACATAATTAAATACATAACGAAAACGAAAATGAAACTGGACTGCTGAAGACAGTAATCTCAAACATCAATATACCTTTTAATTCCAAACGTGTCTACAGCCTGATAATGGATGGTCAACCCGTTGGTGGGATCGTTGATGAACTCAGCACTCTCCTGTATCCCTATAGGATAAGTGTCCCCTCCCCGACTTTGACACGCCTGGAATCATGGTAAAATCTCGCGTAGAGCAACAGCGGATCCAGGGTTGATCTTGGGTACTTGTCCTTTTTTGTTTCCGTATTTTGTTTAAAATTTTCCATACCTTTACTGTTCACCATACGGTTAAAGTGAAACCATGCAAAATTCTGGCAACCTCTTCCTTTCCCTCACCTCCCTCCCTTAGCGAAACTCTGGATCCGCCAGTTAACTTGGATGCTTATCTTCAAAAAATGCGAACTATGACGTTTTCATTGACATTTCTTTCCTTTTCGGAAGGAAAATGTCGTCAAAAACACGCTAGTGCTGCAGTGACAACCAGCTGATTAACAGTTTTGCAGATCAAATATGTCCGACCCACTTGAAAGCTTGTCGCATGATCCCCTTACAGACACTGAATAGATTCCCGGCTTGAATTATGCTTTCAATTGGATCGGCCAAATTTGATCTACAGATCTGTTAGTCCGAGGATCAACTTTGGTTGTTAATGCAGCCTTAGGCTGTATTCCCAGAGCTTTTAGATCGATCTAATCTCTGGAAATGGGGTCTTAGACCCTTAAAAATGGTTTACTTTTTACCATCTTCTTACAAGACACAACGGAAAAACCATTCAATTTTTTTAAATCAACAACACTGTCTCGACCCTTGCTTACAAACTTAATACACTCAATACACTGTTTTCATAGTAAAAGGCGAATAAAGAAATCCGTTTACTGAGACAGAGGTGCACCCCGCGCCCTCGTTGAATGGACTGCATGGGTTCCACGAGAACTGATCAGTGGCCCCTGGCTCAGTGTCTGCGATATCTTTGAATCTGTAAATAGATAAAAATCAATTAAAGGATTCCATCTCCAAAACTTCAAGAACAAGCCAACATGAAGTATGTCTTACACAGTTTTTTTCATTCTTTGAAACGGTGACAGTTAAAGCGACACAACGGCTGCGCAGTGTAGAACTTGGACGTCGGAAAAGCGGAAGATCTGCAGCTTTGGTCGAGCCCACACATTCTAAATATATTTTGTTTTTGTATAATAAGTATAGATATCACGTCAAGTCCAAGGTAGAGAGGATCCGAATTAATTTTAAATGTAGTTTGTTAGTAATTTAAGCACTCTCTCTTGTTACCTTGGCTCTTACTAGTTATCACAGGAAATCTAGGAGAGCATTTGTGAGTACTGCTCAGAAGACTAGCCAGTCCTTATAAAAAAGCCAAGGTCAAATTAGCTTTATTACCGGCAATAGAGGCCTTACTGTTGGTCCACAAGTTATGAATTATTCCACAAGACAAAGAGTTATGCTTTTTACTGACAACTTGCAAAAACTTGGCACATTTAGTGTGCTTAACTGTCTTCAATATTCATAATTTTAGACCGTCTTTCCAAAATCTATACACATAAATTACACTTGCAATTGAGGAAATGGTTTGAAACCATATTGAGGAACTTTTTAGACCAAAAGTAAACACTCATGATAACACATGACACATAACACATGCTAAAATGCAGTACAATATACAATATTACAAAATATACCGTGGTGTATTGTCCGTATTAGCCAGCGGTGTAAGATCGATAATGCCACCACTACTTTCACATCTACATGCCGTCTTCTTGCTACAGTCTATGTTCAGGATCCCTCCCACCGCCGCCACCAGTGTCAAAACTGCCATCAACCGTATACTTATTCTTTCATAAAAAGTCTTCATGTTTAATCCATAAATAGCCCCTTCAATTTCTGATACCCTGTAACATGTAGATAATGAACTTAAGTCAGTGCGTTGACACAGATTGACACAGTATTCTCTTTTTATCAGTAGCGAGTTCTGCTGTAAATTTGTAATATGCGTCCCGTGTAGTAATGTCCTTAATGATAAGATAATGATTTGCAATAGCCCAGTTGAAGTGTATGAAATGAACGACATCAACTTTGAAATGGAGGTTCAGAGTATTTCTATCGGGTTTAAGGATTGTGATTACATGCAAAAAAAGAAACTGGAAGAAGAGAGATACAGTAGTAAAGGGGCAACGATATTCAGCGTTTACAGTAATTTGGTGGAAATGTAATCACAGCCCAATTAGGTCAAAGGGCACATTGTGATGCAGGCCCGTAGCCAGGGGGGGTTCGGGGGGTTCGAAAGAACCACCCCTTTTGCTGGGAAAAGGTAAAGAACCACCCCTTTTGCTGGGAAAAGGTCCACTTTGGGTAAAATTTGGTCTAGGTACATGAAGTTTTTATGGAAAAAGGTCCACTTTTTCAGAAAAAGAACCCCCCTTTTGAAATTGCTGGCTACGGGCCTGTGATGTCAGCTGATATTGAGAGGGGGCATTCACCAACAGTGTCAACTAATGCAGACAATACTAGCGTGATAGGGACCATTCCCAGACCCTATCGTACTAACTGTGGATCGATCTGTCTCCAAGGGGTTCCTCGATAAACTGCTTTCAGCTTAACCGGCTTAGATGTCTGGCACGCCTACTGAAGCTGCTAGGGGGTAATTAACTACCGTTTAGCAGCTTCAGAAGGCGTGCCAGACATCCAAGCCGCTCAAGCTAAAAGCAATTTAGCGAGAAATCTCTCCGAGATGGATCAATCCTGTTAGATCAATCTAGGTATGGGAACCCAGTCATAGCTTGCTGTGCGTGTGGCATCATCCACTGCATCGAATTGCAGGCACTTTGTGATAGCGCATATAATTATGTAAAGGTTTAATGAAATGATTTCTAAAACATAGCCAAGGTACATTCTAATCATGCAATGCTAAAAACGAGGTGAAATCACTAATTAATTGATATTCATAAATAAGAATATATCCTTTAGCTTTTAAATACGAATAATGTGTATTTCTTCAATATGAATATGAAATAACAAAACAGAAAAGATCACATTTTTAAATAATAGCTTTATTCCTGGTTAACTGAACATGACTGTAAAAATAAAACATATGTATAGAGTGTGTCATACACATTACACATCACAAAATCATCTGGTTTCGATGTAATTTATCCACCGTTGAGATATGGAGGCCGTGTAGGAGCTATTTGAACCTATTTGATACTATTCCATATCTGATTATTACTCTCTATCAGTACAGTGGCCAGTCAGGTAGTGACGTTATATCCGTGTAAAATAAAAAAAGGTAAAGAAAATTACTGGCCAGTACAGAAATTCGCATTAGTCAAAAATTTATCTGTGAATATTCAGTGAAAAATATCGCTGTTGCTCTGTAGAGGGTATAGTATCTGATGGCCTAATTGGTGTCTGGGGGCATCTTCCTATGCTCCTTGTGTAAAAGGTGTGGTATTAATAATAATAATAATAATAATAATAATAATAATAATAATAATTTATTTTTCTATGGCGCATTCCATTAAAAATCTCAATGCGCCTTACAACATTCACTTAAAAGAGCTAAATAACACAATACTCATATAAGAACACATTACAATTTTAAAGGACTAAGAACTATTTTAAAGAACCAATTATTCATATTCTAAAATGATAAGAAACTAAAGTGACAACATTTAAAATTAATCATAAAATTACAGTACACCTTATTAAAAACTAAAATTAACTATATGATAGTTACTGATAGGCTATTCTAAAAATATGAGTCTTCAAAAGCATTTTAAAAGTATCTATGTCACCTGCTGCTCGTATTTCAGAGGGTAAGGTGTGGTGAGGTGGTCCACTAGGGAACGTAGCCCTTTTAAAACTGGCAGAGGTTTTGCACCACTGCACACAATGCACTGTAATTGAATCAACACAACAATAAATAAATAAATAAATAAATAAATAAATAAATAAATAAAATGTAATAACGTTAGTTTTAAATGGTTTAACTGGTGCTAAACTTATAAAAGATGTAATCAAAAATCTGAATCTTTGGAGTGGTGGTCTCTATTCTTGGGTCGCGTAAAGCATAGTCAAGAATGCCAGCTTTAATCAATATTTTGTGGTGCATACTTACATAATTATGAAACTGCCTCCTGCACTGAGCCCACCGATCGGCCCACTTCCTGCTCTGAGTCCGCCCAGCAGCCCACTTTCTCCATTAAGCTCGTCTATCGGTCCACTTCCTGTTTTGGGCCCACCCATCGGCCCACTTCCTGCGATACATGCGTACTTCGTTTTCAGAGTCATGTACTGAAATGCACCGAAAAAGAGAAAACAATACTTAAATCCTGTCTCAAACTTTTAGTTAAAGTTTCTATAAACTTTATTAAACCAAGGCTTGCTGTGGACGTTCCTAGTATAGTTATGTTTCAAAAAACGTGTGTGTGTGTGTGTGTGTGTGTGCGTGTGTGTGTGTGTGTTTGGCCAGTTAAAAAGTCTCCAAAGACCAGCCGACTAAAAAGTTGCAAAAGCAAAATAATAGTGTTTACGAAAACAAACAGACGAAGTGCCTTCAAAGATCTGTAGTGAAAACGAGAGAGAGAAAGAGACTGGAGAAAGCGAGAGAGAGTCAGAGAGAGAACGTAGGCTTACGTATTTTGTCACTGTCTTTTCACCCTGCACCGTCAGCTCTCCCACAGTTGGACCGCAGTCAATGCTGATGTACGAGTCTCTGCAAGAAAACGATAAAGTATCTTTACATGTATTATTATTATTATTATTATTATTATTATTAATATCATTACACTTTCCCAGTACCAATTTTTCGTCACCATACACTTCACTTATATATACTTCACTACTCTCCCTTCGTTACGCTTTTTTTTTTTTGTAATGAGCAAAAGAAACAAGTGCAGTGCAACATTTAAGTGGATATAAATATGGTGGTTTTTATAAATGAATAAGAAAATGAAAGGCAAAGAAAACGTAATTGGACTGCTAAAATCCTGTAAACTCAGGTTTCATTACCTTGTAACCCCAACCGTGTCTATAGCCTGATAATGGATCGTCAACCCGTTGATGGGATCGTTGATGAACTCTGCACTCTCCTGTTTTCCGATAGCATAGGTGGCCCACTCCTGCTTTTGGCACGCCTGGGAATATAGTGGAACCTCGCTTTAAACAACATTGG